AGAAGATTGACCAAGATCAAACCAGATTCTTTTCTATTTGATTTTAATTTTGAAATACTTTTAGATTGTGTTTTTTCATCTTCCAAATTTTCTTTCCTAAACTGTTCATAAGTGACCCCAATCCACTAGTTTTTATTGACTTTCTTGGCATATTGTCTGGTGTTATGGTATCAAGGTCATCAGTGACCAGAGCTGCATAAACATCTTGTTAGTTTTAGACCTTGAAATAGTCCTTGAAATATATTTTGCCAATGTAATGACCACTTCTCTGTGTTGATATAATAAGAGAAAGAAGTTTGGTTAAAGAAAATTTCCCACTCAGCACTGTGCTGGTGTTAGTCCTGAATTACCTAAGGAACCCAGATGAGTAGGCCAAATAGGACTTTGCCATTATCTTTCATAATACTAGAAAACTATTTCTCATAGACAGATAAAAGAAAAAACCCACAAAACTTTGTAATAGTATTTAAGAGTATGTGGAGCAGCAATCCCATGCTTTCCTATCTTCTTGGTGAAGATTTGGGGAGATTTTATGAGGGAGAAGTAGGGAGACTTGAGGTGGGAGGGGGGCAGAAGGAAGAGACAGATAAATGCCAGATTGTATGTTAACAGATGAAATTAAAACATTTACGTATTTTGCATTTATAGTGTATTAGGACTATCCTAAAGCACTTTATTATATCACAGTTTCAGTTATACTGTGGGTCAAATCCTGCTGCCTAGATATAGTACATTTCACTTTATCACATACAACTCTTGTCCTCTGATAGTGATATTTAAGTAGAGACCTAGGTGTTAGAAAAAGAACTTTGTCTTATGTTTTAAAAATTACCATTGGCTTAAATTCATCCAAAACTTAACTGTGATTCTTTGGAAAAACTTATAAATGAGTGTGTTCCTTCACAGGAACTTTCCCTGTGGACTTGACCAAAACGCGACTTCAAGTTCAAGGCCAAAGTATTGATGTCCGCTTCAAAGAGATAAAATACCGAGGAATGTTTCATGCCTTGTTCCGAATCTATAAGGAAGAAGGTGTATTGGCTCTGTATTCAGGGTGAGACTGGACTCTTTCCTTACGTCACGAATAGAAATACTTTTTTGAGAAGCCATGTATTTCAGCTGTCTGATAGTTTGTGCCCTTTATATTCACCATTTCAACTTATAATTCAATATTGATGTGCCAGTTTATATTTCACTTGCTTGTAAATCTTGAGCTTTGGATCTTGTGTTCATTTGGCTATAAGCGATACATTTTAAAATGGATATCTCATTGCAGCATTGGCTTTTTCCTGTTTTCCTGAGAGTCATCCATAGGCACTGTGAATAGCGGCACCAATTCGCAGTATATATTTCTGTGATAATCTTCCTGAGTTGCCAAATACTGACTTGTAAAACAATTTTTCCTCTTTAAAGAAATACTATTCTGGCAGTTTAAATAGAAAATGCAGAATGAAAGAGCGGGAGACCCATCATTTTTTTGGGGGGGGTCATCTTTTGTTTATTCATATGTCGGTGGTTTATTGTCCAGTGTGTTGTTTATCTGCTGCCAATTTACTAGTCCACTCCTGCATCTAGGGTACCAATTTATTGCTCAGAGAATGGATATCAGTTTTATTATTAACTTACGTTAGCCTTAATTTCAAAGATAGTTTACTTGGGGGAAAAAATCAAGTAATACATCCTTAAGCAAGTGAATCATGGATCATCTGTTTCACCTTGTTCTTTTATCAGCACAGATGATCACAAGATTATTTTTTTCGGATAGCAAGCAATAAAGTCAGAAATATGCATGTTTTGTCATCATTTTAAAATCTTAACTGTTTGAGCTGCTGCTGTCTTTCTATTTATAACAGCTAAAGTATACTTCTGCAGTTTGGAAGAATCTCAAAGGAGGTATGAGTGAGAATGTCTCCAGTTTATAAGCAGAACTTAAATAGGGTGAAATCTTGGCTCTGGTACCTCCTTGATAGGATTGAAGATATATCTGCATCTGCTAGGAAGTAAGGTTGATTTAAAAAAAATCTATGAAGTGGGTAACGGTGTATACTTTTTCTACATTATTGGATTCAATATGCTGATATTTTATTAAGGAGTTTTGCATCTAAGTTCATGAGAGATATTGGCTTGTAGTTAGTTTTCCTTTTCTGTACTGTTTTTTTGGTTTTGTTAGCAGGGTAATACTAGCTTCATAAAATGAGTTGGGAAGTGTTCCCTCTTCTGTTTTCTGGAAGAGATTGTGTAAGATTGGCATTCATTTATTAAATATTTGGTAGAACTCCCCAGTGAAATGATCTGGGTGGGCCTGGAGAGTTCCTTTTTGGGAACTTTTAAATTATAAATTAAAAATTTTAATGATTATGAGATTATTCAGATTATCTATTTCATCTTGATCGAGTTTTGGTAGTTTGTAGTTTGCAAGGAATTAGTCCATTTCTTCTAAGTTGTTGAATTTATGAGCATAAGGTTGTTTATAGTATTCCTTTATTATTCTTTTAATGACTGCAGAATTGTAGTGCTATTCCCCGTTTTATTCCTCTTGGTGACATTTCTCTTTTTACTACTGGGACCCTTGCTAGAGTTTTATTAGTTTTATTGATTTTTTTCCAAAATAACTTTGTTTCATTGATTTTTCTTTATTTTCCTGTTTTCAAGTTTATTAATTTGTGCTCTTTATTATTTACTTCCTTCTGCTTGCTTTGGGTTCATTTTGCTCTTCTTTTTTCTAGTTTCTTGAGGGTAGGAACTTAAATTATTGATGATTTTGAGACTTTCCCTCTTTTCTAATGTAAGCATTTTGTGCTATAAATTTCTCTCTCAGCACTGCTTTGGTTGCATCCCACATATTTTAATAGGTTGAATTTTCATTTTCATTTAATTCTATGTATTTAAAACATACACCCATGTAACCCATGGATTGTTTAGAAGTATCATTTAATTTCCAAGTGTTTGTGGATTTTCCTTATTGATTTCCAGCTTAATTCCATTATGGTCAGAGAACATATTATATATGATTTCAATTATTTTAAATTTTTGAGATTTGTTTCATGACCTAGATGTGCTCTCTTGATGAATCCATGGGTGCTTGAAAAAAATGCATATTTTGCTGTTTTTATGGAATGAGGGGGGTGATGGAAGTGAGTAGGCTGTCTAGATATGTATAATCTGTGAGTGCATGTTAAGTATAACTGACTTTCTTTTTCTTTCCTTCTTTCTGGCAGAATCGCTCCTGCTTTACTAAGACAGGCATCATATGGCACCATTAAAATTGGCATTTACCAGAGCTTGAAGAGATTATTTGTAGAACGTTTAGAAGGTCAGTATAAGACTCCTTATTCTCTTTTAAGGTAACACTCAAAGGGATTGTTGAAATCATGCTTAATGAGAAGTGTTCATCACAGGGTGCCTGAGAATGGGTAGCAGTCATTGCAAGGACAAAATAAGCTTGTACTGATTTGGGATTAATCCTTGCAGAGGTGATGTATAGGTTAGAGGGACCTGCTCTTCAAGTTTGTCCCTTTTCCTATCAAACGGACAAAAAAAGGCTTCTGGTCATCACAGAGAGAACATGGAGCAAACTTGTTGAGAAAATTAATGCTGTCCTCATCTACAAGAGGACTTCAACTATAAGGAATCCTCTAGCTGTGGGTTTTGATAAGCTTTGGTCAGGTAGAGTAGTTTTATATATATACAAAATATGGCCACCTTAACCCACATTCAGCATTACCATATGTCTCTATTTGCTGATGTAGCTTTTTCAGCTGGATACTATACTAAAATGGTTATTTTACTACAGGCCTGAGGCTGTTGCATAGTTGGGGACAGCTGGAGAGCTTTTCGGTTGGTAATGTCCTTTGAATTGCTTTATTGTCTAAGTCAACTTTTTCTGGAGCCTTATTGCGGTACGCGGGCCTCTCACTGTCGTGGCCTCTCCCGTTGCGAAGCACAGGCTCCGGACGCGCAGGCTCAGCGGCCATGGCTCACGGGCCCAGCCGCTCCGCGGCATGTGGGATCTTCCCAGACCGGGGCACGAACCCGTGTCCCCTGCATCGGCAGGCGGACTCTCAACCACTGCACCACCAGGGAAGCCCGGTTTACCTAGTTTTTAACTTGTAGGCTCGCTATGGTGAGGAGGCCTGGTGAAGATTGAATTTTAGAACAATACGCTCTGTGGTTTCTTTGTTCTTTTTTCTAGCTGAGAGGATTTAGTTCCAAATGACTAGTTTTAACACATTTAACTACAGAAATCTTCTGTCAATAAATAGAGGCTAGTAGATAATATGGCCAATTAAAATTAATATTTAGGTATTTTTTTTCCTATTAGACATAAGATTTTATCCTTTAACATTCGGTTCCTGAGTCTTTAGAGTTGATGATTCTCCAGAAAAAGACTTAAAAATTTTTTTCTTTAGATGTTTGAAATGATTGAAGGAGAAATAGCACATTCTGAATTTATATGGAATATTGGCAGCTATACAGAATAATAGGATATATTCCAGTGTGTTTTAGAAATATCTATTTTAATTTTATATGTTTCAGTACTGATTTGGAACCTAGAAATATTTGAGTTTCTTTATTTTCATAAGCTTTGTGGTTCATTTCTGTAGTCAGTTCTCTGACATGGTTCCCTTTCTCTGATAGCTCAGCACTCTGTTCTCAGAAACTGGTACCTCTTACAAGCAGACCTTTCTTTTTTTTGTTCATTTTTACAGATGAAACTCTTTTAATTAATATGATATGTGGGGTAGTGTCAGGAGTGATATCTTCCACTATAGCCAATCCCACCGATGTGCTAAAGGTAAGAGAAGTCTGGCAGCGTTGGATGTATGCAGTGTGACACGAAAAGAGCATGAGCTTTGAGTCAGATTTGGGCTCAGATCCCCACTCAATCACTTGCCAGCTGTAAAACCTTGGGCAAATCACTCAACTGCTTTAAGCCTCAGTTTCCTCATTTGTAAAATGAAGATAATTCAGTATGTATTGCATAGGGTTGTTAAGGATTAAAGATAATATATGTAAACCGTTATCATTGTACTTGGTAGGTAGTTGATGCTTAATAAATAGTAGTCGGTTTATTATGATGTGCATTAATCCATTGGTCTTCAAACTAGAGTATGCAAACCTTTATAGGTTCTTTCCAAGGGGGCTATGCAATTTTTTTGGGGGGGCTATGCAATTTTAAGGGAATCAATTTCCAGATCCCTTACTTTCTTTGTACCCTTCTCAAAAACTGATCTGAAAATGAGCTTGTGTTTAGAACAGCCCTTGCCCCACTTTACAAAAGAAAGGCACATTCCGCCACCCATTCCAAATCACAGTATGGTATATTGACCTGTGGTGTAACCTGGAGTATCAGACAAAGGGATAAAGTGAAATACAGTTTTTAGAGAAGCCTCCTTTAATAACTAATTGAAATACCGTAAATCTATAATGTCGCTATCTTTTCCTGTCTTATCCATATTTCTATTAAGAATGAGATTTGGCTTTAAAATGATATATTTTGGCCTATTAGAGATATTCTGAATTCAGAACCAGAACAGTATAGGTTAGTGGTGCTGAGTTTTTTTACAACGTGATTGAATTTCTTTCAGATTTTATCAAAATTCAGAATGAAACATTTATTTAATAATATCAATGATATCAATCTATATCTTATTTAATCTAATAATCTAACTTAATCTAATAATAGCAATCTGCATCTTATTTTTGAGATAAAATCTTTAACTTTTTTACTTATTAACTCATTTACACTTATGATAATTAAGAGCACTAAATATATGATTAAAATGTGTAAGAGGATCCCAAGTTTTTAAAAATCATTTTAGGGGGAATGTGAGAAAAAAGAGTAAGAGAACATATGTTTTATTTATTTGAAACCACAAGTGGCTAGGTTGGTGGAGGGGAGATCTATTGTGATTCAGAGTTTTGAGAACCGAGAGAGTGACTTGAAAAACAACACACATGAAAGAAACCAGTGGTGGTTGATGAAGAAATGATATGAAATGATATTTCTGGGTTAAATTGAGAATACTTTAGCTACAGAATTTTTATATCAGTTTAGATTTACAGAACAAGTATTTTGAAGATAATTGACTATATCCTAAAACTCTAAAATATGTGCAATATAATTACACTGGTTAGAATGTGCTTTTCAAGAACAATAATATTTAATTCCCTAAAACTTCCTTTGTTATCCATCAGGGTCCTAAACTTAATCATATAAGTGATTCATTTCAATTTCCTGTTGCTCTGACCTGTCTGGTACAATTACAACCATTGACCAATGCTACAATCTCCCTTTTCCTTTCATATCCTTAGGTAGGGCTGAGTGGTGAGTGGTGCTGGGACGTGGAGGGTCGGGGGTAGTCACAATCCTATATAGGAGTTATAATCACAGTTGGGCTGTTTAATCCTTTCATTTATTCTTGAATAGATCTTTCTCTGAACTACGTGCCACTTCCTTGCGTTTGTGCATGTAGTTCTCTTTTTGCCTGCAATGCCTTTTCCCCCTTTCCTCATGAATTTATCCTTCAAGACTGCTCAGGAACAGGGCCAAGACTAGGACAAGGGAGATACTCCCCTTGGGTGCAAAATGTAAGGGTGTGCCAAAAAACTCAATAATCAAGAGAAATAACATTTTTATGCAATATTTTTCAAAAATTAAAATGAATGTGAAAAATTCATGAACAAAATAGCAATATTTTGTACAATCCGTCTCACTCACTCTAATCCTGCCCTGTTGGATCTGTCTTTAATTACAGTTTTGATACTTGGTTCATCATGGGTTTTTGTGTATTAATTTTGATTTTTAAAAATATCACATTAAGATATTATTTATCTGGATTACTGAGGTTTTTTACACCCCCCCCCACTACATTTTGTGCCTGAGGAAGGTGCCACACTTGCCTCACCCTCATCCCAGCCCTGGTCAGGAATCACCTGCATAAAGAAGTCTTCTACTTACCATAGGATATTTGTGGTTTCAGTTTGTCTTTGTGGTAGTTTCTATTCCATTTTAATTTGGTTTAGGTTTTATTTCAAAACTCTTAGTAGTAGCAGTTGACTTTCCACATAAAAACATGCTGCTGTAACATGATTTACCAAGAGCATTTATTAAAACCTAGAGTTGTGCTTCATGAAAATCAGGCCTACATTTGGGCCACTAGTACTTAGTGACTGACTACTATGATCTATATGTGCATTCGGTGGAAATTGTACCAAATCTTTTACATGGCCTTTTAATGCTGTATCTCCTTTCTTGTGCCTCTCAAAGGCTACTTTGCAGAATACAGTGTCATGCTTTTTACAAGTAAAACTCAATTTAAGGTCTTGTAAGCATTAAATTATGTTTTTAAACTTTTTTCCTGCTTTTTATACTTCAATAAGCAATGCATGTTCAATGTAGTAAAAAGTGGAAGGCAGGAAAAAAACACAAAAGAGAAAAATGCCCACTTGGAGCTTCATCACTTAGACGTAAGCCACTGTCAACATTTGGGTGTGTATGTTCAGTCAGTCTCTTTGTTGAGCATATGGTTATTTTTAAGTCTACATGTTTTTGATAAAAATGATATACCATACATACTGCTTTGCAACCTGCTTTTTCTATTTAGCAATTAATTGTTGACATTTTCCAATATCCACAAATATTATTCTACAATAAAATTTTATGGCTGCATAGTATTCCCTTAAATGGATGTATCATAGTTTATGCAGCTAATCCTTTGTTGTTATTTTTGGACATATAGGTTGTTTATAGTTTTTCACTAAACTAATCGTAGTTTAAATGGATTATTTTCTACCCCTACAGAGTACTCATTCTTTCTTTTCCCCAAATTTTCTTCCAACTCCAGAAATGATGGACTTAGTATGAGGAATGTGAGGCTGATAAAAATCGTCTTTATAAAATATACTTTGACACAAATTACATTCTTTCTATATGTAGCTTAAGTCATTAATTTCATCATAATAGTAAGCTGATTTTTAATTCCCAAATACTGTTTTCTTCATTTTAAATGAGTGAAACATCTCATTTTGGTTCTCTGTCAAAATAAAATGTTCACCTCTTCTGATTTTAGATTCGAATGCAGGCTCAAGGAAGCTTGTTCCAAGGCAGCATGATTGGCAGCTTCATTGATATATACCAACAAGAAGGTACCAGGGGTCTGTGGAGGGTGAGTACTCTTTTCTTGGTATTATTCTTTACACAGTTGCTAGAATTTGCAAAAATTACCTTTTATATAAAGCCATAAAATTGTGAATTGTCACCTTATACTATGTAAGATTCTTGGTAACCTAAAAAATAAGGTAAGAAGCTCCTTATCAGCTATGAAAGGACCAAAACTTATCAGTCGTCTTTATTTCTGCTTAATGTTTGGGGATTTTATGTGTGAGAGAAGTTATATTGTTTGAGACAGCCATTTTGGTTTGTTCAAATTCACAGTGAGTTTAACTTTTCAATCTGTATTTTTGCCAGTTTTGTATTAACACAGCAATGTATGTTTATGGTAGTCTCTGTAGTGTTTATGATCAAAAAGTTATTGCCTAAAACAACTTTTTTAACATTATAAAAGGTAAAAGATATACTATAAAATGTTGAGAAAGTATATAAAAGATAAAAATATCCAGTAGTCCCACTAGCTAGAGATATCACTGTTAACATTTTGTCATATTATGTTCCAGTCTTCTATCTATACTTTTTAAAATATTTTTGTTCCTGTAATTTTTTTATCCAGTTTTAATCACTTAGGATTGTAATATTAAATAAGACTACTAGTAGTAGAGAGTAGAATGGGAACTCCATTAATAGACTCTTAAAAGAGAGAGCTTTGCTTTTATTATTTCTTTATAATGTTCCCTAACTACTTACTATAAAAATTTTCAAACATACAGACAAGTTGGAAGAACAGAACAATGAACACCTACATAGCTGGATTAAATGACTCAAAGTTTGGCCCTATTTGCTTTATCTACTTATGTATATACACACATGCACACACATACCCATACACACACACACACACACGTGCACACTCTCTCTTTTTTTTGTTTAAATATCTAATGAGTCTCTCTCTTTCCTTTTTTTCCTAAACTATTTGAAAGGAAGTTGCAGACATCGTGTTACTCCCCTAAGTACTTCATTATGCATCTCCTAAGAATAAGGACATTCTCCTACATAATAACAATACCATTGTCACACCTAAGAAAATTAATAAGTCCCTAATATCTAATACCTAGTCCATATTCAAATTTCCTTTATTGATGAGGTCAGGTCAGTTTTCTTATATAAAATGTTTCCTTGCATTTCCCCTGTATTTCCTGTAAGCTAGAAGTTAGATCTGTTGGCTTGATTAGATGCATGTTAAACATTTCTGGTAAGAGAACTTCATAGATGACACTATTTCATATGCATCACAGCAAGAGACACAAAATGTTAGTTTGTCCCAAAATTGGTGATGCCAAGTTCGTTTACTTGTTAAGATGATGCCTACCAGGTCTTATCATAGTAAAAGATACGTTTTTTTTCCCCCTTTGCAATTAGCAAGTAATTTGTAGGGTAATATTCTAACAACGTGCATATATCCTATTACTTAATGACCTTTCACCAAATGATCTTAGCATCCGTTAATGATCCTTGACGTTTGCTTTTTGATAAAAAGCACTTGGAGGTACACTTTCTTTTCCCCTTCCTTCCTTCCTTCCTTCCTTCCTTCCTTTCTTTCTTTCTTTTGCCACACTGCACGGCGTGCGGGATCTTAGTTCCCTGACCAGGGATCGAACCCGCGCCCCTGCAGTGGAAGTGTGGCGTCTTAACCACTGGACCGCCAGGGAAGTTCCAAGGTACACTTTCTTGATTAGTCTAATTTAAAACCAGAAAATGGAACTAACTAGAACTTTTTTCACAAACTAAGGCTAAGGAAAAGACAAAGACAGAACAATAAGTAGAATTGGAGATTTTGTCAGGGGAACATAGCTACTTTGTTTTTAATTAAAATAATCTTTTAATTGTGTTAAAATACATATAAAATATCACATTTTTGTACAATCAGTCTCCAGAATTCTTTTCATGCTGCAAAACTGGAACTCTGTACCCATTAAACAGCAACTCCGTGTTTCCTCTTCCCCTAGCCCCTGGCCACCAACCTTTTATTATCTCTCTATGAATTTGATGGTTCTGGGTACCTCATATAAGTGGAATCATACAGTTTGTCTTTTTATTACTGGCTTATTTCTTAGCATAATGTCCTTACTTAGCATAATGTCCTCAAGGTTCATTCATGTTGTCACATGTGTCAGAATTTCCTTTTTAAGGCTGAATAACATTCCATTATATGCGTATACTACATTTTGTTAATCCATTCATACATTAATGGACATTTAGTTTGTTTCCGTATCTTGGCTCTTGTGAATAATGCTGCTGTGAACATGGATGTGCAGATACCTCTTCAAGACTGATGTCAATTCTTTTGTGTATATACCCAAAAGTAGGATTGCTGGATTGTATGGTAATTCTATGTTTAATTTTTTGAGGAACTGAACATAGCTACTTTTATGATCCAGGCTACTTACTTCATCCAGGCATGTAAGGAGAAGTGAAGTATATTGTGTTATGTATTCTTTTGACACAGACATGTATTATTTACATATTAAAATATGGGAATCTTTTTTTCATTTCAACAAGGAAATATGTTTACATTTTTCTTCAAACACATGTCTGTATTTTGTTTTCCTGCTTTGATTGTAACATAGGTACTGGAAACATTTCACTTTCACTGGAAACACTTCACTTTCTTCCAAACTCCATTGTAAGAAATAACAACAGGAGCACAGTAATAAAGAGTAACTGGCACTTAGGTCAGAGTTGGACAGACAGTAGAGTAGTGAACTGGAGAGCACTTGCCCTGTTCATTGCTGTCGTACACCACGTGAATCCAGTGTGGCCAAATTTTCTGGGCTTTCAAGAGAAGCTGGAAATTTGCATTCCTGTGTGAAATATCCATTCCTGTGGTTTTGTTTTTGTTTTATGTTGACAGCTAATTCAGCCTTTTAAGAAACACTGTGTAGGCCACACAAAACATGTCTGTGACCTGAATTCAGCCCGTGGGGCCTTACGGTTCACCAAATTAGTCTTCTGAGGCCATCTTCTAACAGAGTTGAGCAGGTGGAAGGATCAGAGAGGAAGGTACTGCTGGGCCAGCCAGCCTGATCAGCAGAATCAAACATCTCCTGATGACAGCACAGCTACATCGCTTCCACTTTATAAATGGAGTTTGGGAATTTAGAGATGATTGAACTCTTTAATTATGACAGGTATCACAGAAAGCAGTTGTTCCCCATGGTATATTATTTTCAGTTTTTTAAATGATATTTAAATTTAAACACAATTGTAAAAATAAAACATTCCTTGTGAAAATTTTTACAAAATTTTGGCATGTGTTTGTATACCTTTTCCCCTAAAGTTAGAATAATACTATAAGTAATTTTATGTCTTACCTTCTTCAGCGTTGTAGGCATTTTCTCATATCATTCATATTCTTCAAAAACAGGACTTTTAATGCTCTGGCAGCCCTATGTTGTAATGTGAGCTGTGATAGGAATACTGTACTAGTGAGTGAAAAGCTGGTAGTGTTATCATAGGAGGACTCATAAGGAGGTACTCCTTTGCCTTGGCCTTCTCCCTGGCTGCATCATACCTTTGCTGTCATCCTAGTGTGTCCTTTCTGCACATCCTAAATTCTGTGAAATAAACTTGAAAGCTCTTTTCTCCCTACTGACTTTTGCTTCCGGGTTTTATTTTTAATAACATCTTTATTGAGATAATTCATATACCATAAAAATTTGCCATCTTAAAGTGTACAGTTTAATGTTTTTTGGATATCCACAGACTTGTGCAACCATCACCACTGTCTAAGTTTAGAACATTTTTATCACCACAAAAAGAAACCCCATATCCATTAATGGTCACTTCCCATGACCTCCAGCCTTCCCAAACCTAGACAACCACTAATCTAGTTTCTGTCTCTATAGATTTACCAGTTCTGGCATTTCATGTAAATGGAATTATACAATATGTGGCATTTATGACTAGCTTCTTTAGTTTAACGTACTGTTTTTAAGTTTCATCTATGTTTTAGCATTTATCAGTACTTCATTTCTTTTTATGGCTGAATAATAATTCCATTGTATGTATATACCACATTTTGTTTATCCCTTCATCAATTAATAAGCATTTGGGTGGTTTGTACTTTTTGGCTATTATGAATAATGCTGTTATGAACATTCATGTACAAGTTTTTGGATAAATATATGTTTATAATTTTCTTGGGTATGTATCTAGATGTGAAATTGCTAGGTCATGTAGTAATTCTATGTTTAACTTTTGAGGAATTGCCAAAGTGTTTATCACAGTGGCTGCCATATATTGTATTCCCACCAGCGGTGTATAAGTGTTTATCTTCTTTGGGGAAATGTCTATTTAGATCTTTTGCCCATTTTTTAATTGGGTTGTTTGTCTTTTTATTGTTGAGTTGTAAGAGTTCTTTATTTTGGATACTAGTCCATGTATAATATATGATATACACTAGTCCAGATATATGATTTGCAAGTATTTTCTCCCGTTGTGTGGGTCGTCTTTTCACTTTCTTGATGGTATCCTTTGAATCACAAAAATGTTTAATTGTGATAAAGTCCCATTTATCTATTTTTTCTTTCGTTGCTTGTGCTTTGGGTGTCATATCAATGGTTTTATTTTTTAGTACAGTAAGTGAATTGGAAATTTATAAATGTTCCAGTATTAGCTATTGATTTGAAGGAGTAATAACCCCTATACTTCAGACTTGGATTTTTTCTGTTATTTTTAAATTCCTGACTTACTTTGTTCACTTTTAGACTTATGTCACTACCAGTGTATTTCCTTGGTGTCTCATGTCACTTATGTTTTGTAGGGTGTTGTCCCAACTGCTCAGCGGGCTGCCATCGTTGTGGGAGTAGAGCTACCAGTCTATGACATTACGAAGAAGCACTTAATATTGTCAGGGGTGGTGGGAGACACAATCTTAACTCACTTTGTGTAAGTATGCTAGGTTGTACTCATTCCATATATTCAGTACTTTAAGCACAAAAAGCATCTTTCACTGAAGTCCTCAGGTAGAATTGATAATGGGTACATATGGTCTAAATACCTTTTTCTCTCTCATCACCAGAACTTCAAGCCTTCTGATACAGGTACAGAGATTCCAGATGCTATGGGCACTTTGGTACTTGGGGGCAGTGTCTAATACAGTAGCCTATCAGAGGTCTGTAGGATTTGCATTTGTTCATACACAGCCTCTGTATCTAATAAACTCATCTGTTATTTGCTTTGGTTAGTTTTGGATCAGAAAGCAAATTTTCTCAATGAGAAACAGAATAAAAGGGTGAAATTTTATAGGGCCTGTGAAACAAAACCACAGTTTTGGGCTGAAGACTGTTGCTAGTTTCATCCTACGTTTTCTTCATCTTGAAACTTTTATGATATTTTACTACTCAAATGCATTTGGCGTATGATGCTGTGGTTTGAAAAATTTACATAACTAATAGATGATGCATAATACTTCCTGCTTAGGGAACTTGCTAGACTTATATAAACTGTCCCCTTAAAAAAAAAAGGCTATCTGAATTTTGGATTGAAAAGTGAAGGGGACAACTTTTGAATAATGTAAAGATTAGTACATATTTCCTTTCTTTTTAGATTGTAATGAAAGGGCAAGTGCCAGGTTTTATTTGATGAGTCTGACTCATTGTACATTTATATTTGGACTAATTTCAGTTTAAGCGGGCAGAGGTGGAAGTGGGGCAGTCTGTCTCCTTAAAGTTTTTATCTTTAGTTCCAGCTTTACGTGCGGCTTGGCTGGGGCTCTGGCTTCCAATCCAGTTGATGTGGTTCGAACTCGCATGATGAACCAGAGGGCAATTGTGGGACATGTGGACCTCTACAAGGGCACTTTGGATGGTATTTTAAAGGTACGCACACTGTGAACTTGGATTGTATTTTTAATTTTCTTTGATGTCTCAGACCTTCTTGCAGTCTTTATTCTTAGTTGCTGCATTTCATTCTGAAGGTGGAAGAATCATTATGTCTATTTTTAGTAGCCTCTCAGAGTAATTCCTAGGTAGGAAAGCTGTCCCCTTGGCAATCTGCTGATGCACAGTGGTCCTTAATATTATTATTCCAGTTTGAATGCTTAAGACTGCAGGATACTTTTATCAATAGCACCATGTAGAATTACTGATAGAAAGGACTTAACATTATCCCACGTTTGCCCATTTCAAACAAGGCAGAGATGCTATAATAGAAAATCTGGTACTTGGTTTCCGTTCAGCATTGTACTATTGTTCACGGTTTGGCTTTGAAAGTTTCTGCTATGTTATGTTTGTAGGAAGCTGAATATCATACATGTATTATATATTATATAATCATTCATGATAATACTTCTGCAAAAAACAAATTTGGAGCTAAAATATGATATTGTCATATGGTTTCTCAGTTTAGTTAACAACTATTATCTATCAGGCACCATTTTAGTACTTACAGAGAAATTACAGTGTACCACATGTATACAAACAGATAATCAACACATCTTGTCAAGTGATAAACTCAGGGGTCTATGGGAGGAAATTTTAGTCCAATTTGGAAATTTGGGATAGGTTTCCTGTAGATGGAGGCATCTAAAATAATAGTAACTCACATCTGTTCAGTGCTTTACTGTGTATCGGGGACTGTCCTAATGAGACTTACATGTATTCATTCATTTAATTCTCACCATTACAGCATACTGAAGTGCTAAGAGATTAACTAACCTGCCCAAGGTTTCACAGCTAGTAAGTGGGAGAGCTGGGATTTCAACTTAGACCATTGGCTTCAACCCAACATTCTTCACACTGTGGTGCCTTCCTCATGTTGGTGGGTGAGGGTTAGTTAGGTTATAAAGGATATTGAATGCTATGCTGAGATGCTTGGACTTATTCTTTTACTTGATGAGGAGCTATTGAAAGATTTTAATCAGGTCAGATTTACATTTTAAATAGATCAAGCTGGCTTTGTGGAGACAGTTGTTCTCAATCTTAGATGCACACTGCAATCACCTGGGGAACATTCACAGCTTCTGCACCCACCTTAAGCCAATGACCTCAGAACGCCTGGAGTGGGAGCCAGGTTATCAGTATTTTGAAAACTCCTCAGGTGATTGCAATGTTCGCCCAAGGTTGAAAACCATTAATCTAAGGGGATAAGCCTGGAACAGTGGTTCTTAAAACTTTAACATGCATCTGAACCGCCTGGAAGGCTTGTTAATATGCAGGTGGCTGGGCCCCATCACCAGATTCTGATTCAATAAGTTTGGAGAAGAACCTGGGAATTTGCATTTCTAACCAGTTCCCAGGCAGTACTGATGCTGCTAGTCTGGGACCACACTTTGAGAACCACTGACCTAGAGAAGGGAAACTGATTAGAAGCCTCTTATAGTAGTCTGAGCAAGAGATGATGAGAGCCTGAACTTGAGCATGAATAGTGGAGATAGAGTTGAGAATAATTTAGTTGATAAAGTCAACAGGATTTTGTTGACTTGATGTGGAGAGGTGTGGGAGAAAGAAGATGTCAAAGATAACTTCCCAGTTTTTGGCCTTGGTGACCATGTAGTGACATTCATTGACAGAGGCATTACAGGAAGGGGAGCAGGTTTTGTGGGAGACATCACAGTTTTGGATATTTTGAGGAACACCCAGTGAATATATTTGGATATCTTAGTCTTAACTTGGGGGAGAGTTCAGGGGTGTAGATAAGAACCTGGGGAAGCAGTAGTGTACAGGTGTTACATAACTGGAGGGGGAGGCCAAGGAAAGCAGGTAGAGGAGTTCACAGCTTTTTTGCTTTCCTAGCACACTGGAGTATTATAAAACTCCTTCCATTCATTAACAGTGATTCACAGAAGCAGTGATTCTCATACCCTGGGGAGTAGAGTTTGGCAAAAGACCCCCTTTCTATTTCTGACATGCTCACCCTTCCACTTGACAGTCACTGGTATAGAGAGAAGTGGGGCCAAGGAAAGAACTCTGGGGAAATACCAACTTTAAGGGCTTGGCAGACGAGGAACCCAGGAGAGACACCAAAAGGTAACACTTCAGGGAATTCCCTGGCGGTCTAGTGGTTAGGACTCTGCGCTTTCACTGCTGAGGGTGCGGGTTCAGTCCACTGTTGGGGAACTAAAATCCCACAAGCCATGTGGTGCGGCCAAAAAAAAAAAGAGAGAAGAAAAAAAGATAACAGTTCAGAAGATACGAGGAAACTTACAAGCGAGTAGTGTCACAGAAGCCAAGGGAGTAATGAGCTTTAGGAAGGTATGAGCAGTTATTTAATGCTAAATGGAATAGAGAGATCCAGTATAAGGACTGCAAAGTGTCTGCTGGATTTAATATTTTCTAGAGGAGGTTTGCTGGATTGGTGTTTGCAAAAGTCAGATTGCTGTGCATTGAAGAGTGTGTTTAATCATTCATTCATTCATTACAAAAATGTTTGTGCCTTCTGTGCTAGGTACTGTTCTAGGTTGGTGAACAAATAAGCCCTGGCCTTCATGACATTTTAATTCTAATAGAAAGAGACAGATAAACACATAGGAAGTGAGGATGAGTAGACAAGTATAAAATACTCTTTCAAGAAGGTTGGCTAAGAGGAGATAGAGGGTATAGTAATATAGTAATAGCATTTATTGAATGCTTATTATGTACCACACACTAGAGTATATCCTTTAACTCTCAGTAACCCTATAGAGTGGATAATATCTTTGCCATTTTATATAGGAGAGAACTCAGGTTCAGAGTAGCTAAGTATTTACCCAAGATTATACACCTAATAAGTGGCAGATCTGAGATTTAAATCAGGGTTTGTTTGATTCCAGAGTTTATACTTGTAACCACTGTACTGTATGATATTGTCAGAAACATATTTGCATGTTGACAGTAACCTTTAAGTACTTATATTTACTCACTCATTCACTTACTTGCTATTAAAATTCTTTAAAACAACTTTGCTCTTTATTGTCATCATACTTTTTTATTTTATCTATAAGAGTGCCATAACACTTTGGTGAATGGAATTATGCATTCATCTCTGATGTAGAAATGAGCAGCTGCAAATCTCATCCTGTTACCTCTATATTAAAACCCTTGAATGGCTTCTCTTTGATGCAAGGTCCATATGACTTGACCCCTTTTTACCTCTACAGCCTTATCTTTGCTACCTTTATTCTGTATTCCAGACATACTGAACAAGTTCTAGTACTAGACTTTTCTTTCATTCCCAAGTTTTCACCCATGCCATATACTTTGTTAGACGGCTAGCTTCTACTCATTCTTCAGATTGCATTATTTTTTCATAAAGGCCTTCCCTGACCATTAAACTGTGTATGTGTAAGTAGTTTTATATACTTGCTCTGTCATAGCATTTAATATATTTTAAAAAACATTTTTTTAACATCTTTATTGGGGTATAATTGCTTTACAATGGTGTGTTAGTTTCTGCTTTATAACAAAGTGAATCAGTTATACATATACATATGTTCCCATATCTCTTCCCTCTTGCGTCTCCCTCCCTCCCACCCTCCCTATCCCACCCCTCCAGGCGGTCACAAAGCACCGAGCTGATCTCCCTGTGCTATGTGGCTGCTTCCCACTAGCTATCTACCTTACGTTTGGTAGTGTATATATGTCCATGCCTCTCTCTCGCTTTGTCACAGCTCACCCTTCCCCCTCCCCATATCCTCAAGCCCGTTCTCTAGTAGGTCTGTGTCTTTATTCCTGTCTTACCCCTAGGTTCTTCATGACATTTTTTTTTCTTAAATTCCATATATATGTGTTAGCATACGGTATTTGTCTTTCTCTTTCTGACTTACTTCACTCTGTATGATAGACTCTAGGTCTATCCACCTCATTACAAATAGCTCAATTTCATTTCTTTTTATGGCTGAGTAATATTCCATTGTATATGTGTGCCACATCTTCTTTATCCATTCATCCGATGATGGGCACTTAGGTTGTTTCCATCTCCGGGCTGTTGTAAATAGAGCTGCAATGAACATTTTGGTACATGACTCTTTTTGAATTAAAAAAACATCTTTTTTGATGTTTTTTTAATGTCATAGAATTCATAAAATTCACCTATTCAGAGTGAATAGGCTTTTGGTATATTCACGGATATGTGCAACCATCATCACCACAGTCAATTTTAGAACATTTTCATGACCTCAAAAAGAAACCCTGTGCCATTTAGCTATTACCTCCCTATCTTCCCAGCCCTAAGAAACTACTAATGTACTTTTATCTCTGTGGATTTGCCGATTCTGGATATCTTATATAAATGGAACCATACAATATGTGAGCTTTTTTTTTTTTTTTTGCGTTACACGGGCCTTTCACTGTTTTGGCCTCTCCCATTGCGGAGCACAGGCTCCGGACGCGCAGGCTCAGCGGCCATGGCTCATGGGCCCAGCCGCTCCGCGGCATGCGGCATCCCCCCAGACCGGAGCATGAACCCGTGTCCCCTGCATTGGCAGGTGGACTCTCAACCACTGCGCCACCAGGGAAGCCCTATGTGAGCTTTTGGACTGGCTCATTTCACTTATCATAATGTTTCAAGGTTCATCCATGCTGTAGCATGTATCAGTACAGGCATACCTCAGAGGTATGCTTCCAGACCACCTCAATGAAGCAAATGTCACAATAAAGCGAGTCACATGAACTTTTTGGTTTCCCAGTACATGTAAAAATTATGTTTACGCTATACAGTAGTCTATGAAGTGTGCAATGGTATTGTCTTAAAAAAAACAATGTACATACCTTGATTTGCTAAAAAATGTTAACCATCATCTGAGCCTTCAGTGAGTCATTTCTTTGCAATAGCAACATCAAAGATTACAGATCACCATAACAAATATAATATAATGAAAAAGTTTGAAATATGACGAGAATTA